GACCTACTAAATAATATCAGGAAAGCGATAAACAAATAAAAATGAAAGTCGTTATGTAATGAGCCATTGTATTCCTGCTTTGTTTACCAACAATATCAGCAAAACGAGAAAAACAAATTAAAACATGTATATAGATTATTCAGGTTTAATGACTTTTCCGAAAAATTTTAAGATGCTCAATCGAAATAACAATAAGTAGACTAAATTTATAATATATTATATAATTTCAAGTAAAATGTCTTATTTTTGAAATACAAATATTAAATTAGCAATAAATGGAAAGAGGACAGTAAAATAAATCAAATGAAACTAGTGTTCCAATTAAAATAATTTATGTTATTTCTAAGTGTATCGTATTCCTCTGAAAACCTAAAATTTATAAAAGTAAGGCAGTATTTTTAAAGCTAAAAGGAGAAAATAATTATTTGCATTAAATTACTACGAAATTTATAATAGATTTAACATTTTACTCAGGATAATATACTTTATGTCCATTTAATTAAACTTTCAGCATCGAATTTCTTCAGTTTATTTGAAAATTAAACATTTAGATATAAAATTTCAATGAAATTATAAGCAAAAATGTTATTGTTAATAAACACAAATACTTTACTACAGTTAAGAGAAAACGTATATTCAAGTATACGACTCTTATACCCCTTTTTGACGTATTTATCATCTTAGAAAACAATTAAAAAATTACAATTAGGCTATTATTTTAGACCACCACACGCCTATCGCATATTCAACACATGGATGGGCGATCCAGGAAAGCTTATAATTTTAGAAGAAGTTTTGAATGTAATTCGTAGAGATAATCTTTTGGATAATGTCACTAAGGTTGGTCACAAATTAAAAAGTGGTCTCGAAGAATTGCAGAATGAATTTCCAAATCTAATCAACTCTGTAAGAGGTAGAGGAACTTTTCTAGCATTGAACGCAACTGATGATAAACTAAGGGATAATATAGTTGCAACCCTTCGACAACAAGGTAAACGATACAGCAATGACGATTATTTGTAACAATTAAAAAATAGTTTATGAAGTTTATTCACAGTTTATCAACTTATTGTCCACTAAAGTTTAAACATACTAACATAAGTATCCACTTAACTCCAATTTTCTTCATAACGATTCGCGTGAATCTGACGCTAAATAGCTTTGGCAGCGATCATAACCGTAATCATCATCATCATCATAAGGTCGTCAGTCTTAAGACACGCACCTCCACTCCTTTCTATCTTGAGCTAATCTTTGCATTTCCCCAAAACTAGAACAACGCACATCCTTAACTATTTTCGAACAGTAATCTAATTTAGGTCTACCTCTACTCTTAACTCCCGTTTCTGCTGTCTGACTAGACCTTCATGCCTGAGAAGATGTCATACCAACCTATCTCGCCCATTTTTAATTAACTTCCATAGAGCTCTCAGTTCTCCTACTCTTTCTAATACCTCTTCATTTCTAACCTTCTCTATCCACGGTATCCTCATCATTCGTAAGTAACACCACATTTCGAACGCTTCTAACCTTTTCTTTTCCGCAGCACCCACCGTTCATGTTTCGCACCCGATCATAACCGCAAAACCTTTAAAAATCTCTGCCACAGATGCAGGAAGACATTTTAAGAGAGCACGACCAAAAACTCCGACTAATACCAAGTAATTTTAGAGTCGGACAGCTATTAAATTTGATAATTGATTATCGATTATAAAGAAATAATGGATTATTGCGATTAATAAAAATATGCAGTATAATCCATTAATTAATATTAATTCATTAATCTGATAATTTGCCCAGTCCTAGTCTACCTGCTACCATACATAAGGTCCCTGAATGTACAGGGTGAATTTTCTAATTTAATACCCCCTATTATCTAATATGTGCTACTAAAATTTTTATAAACCTATTAGTATACAGTTAGTATACGGGGGGTGCCTGAAATAATTTTTTTTAATGGAAAGTGTATCTTTGTAGTATGACTAATGCTTTACAATGCACAACCAAAATCATAAAACATGTAACTAATTGTTTGGAATTATTTTAACTGTTAAATAATTTCAAATTGCAAAGCCTTCCATTTCCACATAAGAAATGTATTATTTAATGTAACATATATCTTAATCTTTATCATCTTCTTCTTTATTATTTATTTGATTATATGACAATTTTTAAAATCAAAAAAGTATCTGGAAATGTACGGGGTGTTTCATAAAAATATATATATTTTGAGCATCCACGTGTATACAAGCAGGGTTTTAAAAATTCTAGTAGTATACATTTGAAATCACCACAAAAGAAATCACATGAACTATTATTTTGAATTTTCAAAATTTCGCTTCTGCTGATGATAAAGAAAGCTATTAAATTAAACAATTCATCCTGAATAGAAAGAGACAGAGCACATAGAAGCAAGTAGGTACCTAATAAAAGAACGAGAAACACTAGATAGATTAGATCACAGGGTGAGAAAAATTATTAATTATTATTCCAATTAATGGATTAATCGATTATTTGGATTTTGTTGATTATAAAATTCTGCACTCAATTGTCCATGTCCATTCTACTGCTTCTCTTTGAATTAATTCTTCTTCAGTACATGTGTTTGTCGGTTTTATGTATGTTCAAATTAAAACTGAATTTCAGGCGTCCAAACTGGAGGTTGCGGTGAAAAATCTGTCAGACTCCGACCTGCCCTCATATTCCAAGATCGTCATGCCGACATATTCTTGGACAAGTTCAGACAGGTTTTGCAGAAATTGAAATAGATTTAAGCAGCAAAATAAATCCTTTATTGTTATGATTGCATAATTAAGTCAAACTCATAAAACTTGCACACTAAATACGTATATAATATAATTTGTAAAATTACTATTACTTTTATAAAGTTTAGGTCTTGTGCATTTCTAGCATTAAGTTTTATGTAGGGTATATATACGTAATAGATACATATACATATATTATTTTGTTAAAATAATTTTATAGCAATTGCATTATAAGTGCATCTGCATACATACATAGAAAGCATTTTATAAGTTCTTCTTTTTAAGCACAATGAAAACAACTGTCTTCCAAAGTTAATTGTCTTCCAACATTATGTGTTGAGTGTATTGTTAAATTTGTTGTCAAAAAATATTAAAACTTGTCATAAATACAACTCGTATGCATATCACAAAAAGTAATTGTTGTTTTCACTCCCTTTTATGTTACCTATACGACATTAGCTTTTGTCTCCTATCACTAATTGAATCAATACCTTAATTAAAAATGAAAAGCTGTAATTTCTTGGAAAAATTTTATCAAATATTTAACAATTTTTAATTTGCAATGCATTTTTTCATAAGCCACAAAAAGACTGTAGAGACAATTTCATTGCAGAAATAGCATTATTTACATCGATAATATAATCGGACTCCGTGGGGGCGGCGTGAATCCATTGTCAAAATATTGGAACTCGTGTTTAAATTAAAATAAATCAATACGAAAGTTAGTCATACACATAGACATACTTCGTATGTATGTGAAGAGGCCTATATAATTATTGAAAAAGTTAAGTTGCATATTGCACAGTGGGCATGGTACGTCATTGACCAAAATTTGTTTGGAAAAACTATCAACTCTATTACTACTTTTATTTTACTATTTACTGTCTAATTAACTTTTTTATTATTAATTACTTATCAATTCATCACTACATGAACACTTTGTCAGTTCTTAGCTCTTGAATCACCACGTAATTCGAACTCGTACTAATTCTACTTGATCTCGCTGCAATTATTTATTTGGCCCTATTCCAGAATGATCCAGTATATGCCGTCCAGAAACTTGACCTTTGTCGGCATATATACTGGGTTACCTATACGCATGTGACAGTATGATATATTTGTTTTCTGGTAATTTTCATCTACGTTTTGTTTTTTGTAAAAAACAAACTTCTTCTTTCTGATAATTGTAGAACATACTATACATTCTCCTCTTTATTTTTTTATATTGATAAGTTAATAATACACTTCACGTCAATCACATCATAAATAAACTGATAAATAAGTGATCACCAAAAAAACAAGTCACTACTTTTTGAGAAAATTCTTGATTACAAAAAGTGATAACTGTAAGAACGTTAAGCATTGTGGTTCATATTCTCTTATTTATTGGTTAAACTACTCTTTGAGTTGTGAATGTGTAAATGGAGTACTTTGTAAAATTCCATGTTTGTCATTTATTTTTATTGTTATCCACGCTTTACGTTAGCGCTTTTGCTGATTCGTCCTGTACGCTTACTGGAAATTCTATAGATAATCTAGAAAATATTAAGTCTTCGTGCAAGAACATAATCGTTGATGATTTATTGGTACCTGCTGGACTAACCTTAGACTTCACCGGAATATCAGACGTCAACATTGAATTTAGAGGGAACACTTCTTTCGAATTTAAAATATGGAAAGGACCGTTGATTCTGATAAGCGGGAATAACGTTAATGTTTCTGGAGCTGAAGATTCTGTGATCGATGGTAATGGCCCAAAATGGTGGGATACGTTAGGAGATAAAGGGATTACGAAACCAAGATTGTTCAAACTGCGATACTTGACCAATGCAAACGTAACTAATCTTTCCTTCCTCAATTCTCCACGTCATTGCTTCGCTATTCATAACTGCACCAATATTACGATCAACAATGTTGTTATAAACGATAAAAGTGGAGATACGCAAGGTGGCAAAAATACAGACGGCTTTAATGTCAAAGGATCTGAAAACGTTTACATTACAAACGTTCACGTTTTTAATCAAGACGATTGCCTAGCAGTAAGATCTGGAAATAACATTCATTTTTCAAATGGGCATTGCTATAAAGGTCACGGATTATCTATTGGTTCTATTGGTAATCGTACCAATAATGTTGTTCAAAACGTGTACATATCAAACAGCCAATTAGTAGAGTCAGACATAGGAGTTCGCATTAAAACAGTTTGGAATTGTACAGGATTAGTGACTGGTATCCATTATGACAATATTACTTTAATCGGCATTAAAAAATATGGAATAATATTCCACGGAAACTATGGAAAATTACCAAGCCCTAACGCGCCATTGACTGATGGTATTCCAATCAAAGATATAACACTAAATAATATACAAGGAACAGTTGTTACGGCAGGTACCAACATCTATGTCAATATAGCCGAGGGTGTCGGTTCTGATTGGGACTGGAGAAACGTAAATATAACTGGCGGAGAAAAGAAAAGAAGTTGCCATGGAATACCCAAGGACTCAAACGCATTCTGTGCTTAATAATAAATATTTCCTTGTATCTTTTGGTAAATAAATGCATATATCAATTAAAAATAAATAAAAAAAAAACGAAGTTTCTGTTTTCATCGTTTAGATTTAGAAAACAAAATTATTGGCTCAATTCAATAAAATCATGTAAGATCATCATTGAACAATAAAAGATTAGTTTTTATAAGTGGGTACTTCAAAAATCTACGAAAAACATAATACGTCTGTTGCATGGTGTAACTAACAACTGTGTAATACTTACTTCATCAAGAAATTAATACTTATCTGTCCATAACTGCGATATAATAATATAATTAGATCGCTTTCATAATTTGCAAACTTTACTACTGAATTAAATTTGATTTCATTTATGGTTCTGATACCTATATAAAAGAAAAGTGGTACGGTACTAACAGGTGTAAATACATAAGTACAAATTTCTGCAGAAAGGTACTGTAAGTCTGTTAAGTTTGTTTATTCTTTGAATCATAGAATACAGTGAAGCAGTTTAGTAAAATGCTTTAACTTATGTTACTGTTATCAATTGCGTTAAGTAAAGCTTTAACTGAAAACTCCGATTTATCGTATACACTAACTAAAAATTCGTTAGACAATTTACAAGAAAACACTTTACACCGATAGTTTTGGAATATCAGACTTTAGATCTATCAATCGTCAGTACTACTTTCAATTTGAAATCATGGAATGGAAAAATCGACGAATTTAATAAGTTGATGTAAAACGTTAACGTTACAGGAACGGAAAATTTCCTTTTCAGAAGACAATGATGGAATGGATTAGGAGCGCCAGAAGCATAATAAAGTCAAGACGCTTCAAACTTCGATATCTTGTCAGAGTCATCATAACTAACATTTATCCACAATTGTACGAATATTGTACTCTTTAATAATATTGTAATAAATCGAAAATGGAAATACAAATAAAATAAAATACAAATGATTTTAACAAGAAGATATCCGAGAATATACGTACATCTTACAAATGTTCGTATATTTGGATAACTTCATTGTCATACTTAAGATCTGGTAGTAATATCCATTTTTTTCGCAAAAGTGCTGTTATGCAGGTTATCTATTGGATCATTGGGTAATCGCTCACCAACAATATTCTTCAAGCACCTGCATAATTGGTAGAGTCGGATAATGGTGTTAGTATTAACAAAACTGTTTGAAATTGTACCGGAGTAGTGGTTGGTAAATTAAATTAATAAAATTTCAGAATTTGAGCACTCATTGATACACAGAAGGAATTTGCATCAAAGGCCTAACATAAATGTTGGAAAAAGGAAGAGCAGAATTTCTTAGGGAACAAAAGCATTTTGTGTTTAATTTTCTAAATAATGGGAAGCACATATCTAAATCTTTGTACAGTTTCATTAATCATGTAAAATGCCTTCAAATTCCAATTAATAAAAGAGATCATAGGTGACCAATTATCTAAAATACTTATGTCTTCATTAACGTAAACTTGTTTGATAGGGATCTTAGTTCTATTTTTATTAATTACTTGGATACTTGAAAAATAACTTTTGCGTAACTTTTATCAATTTCCACGTGTTTTCTGTGAATGACATTTACATGAGTACCTACCTGGTTTATCGAAGTACTGACAGTAAAAAAAAAGGATCGATGATAGAACGATAACAGTTGCACAGACGTATAAGAATACATGATATTTCTTTTTCTTATTACGAAAGTTACAATTCTTAAGTTCAGTAAGTATGCAAAAGTTCTTGAAATATTATAAATAGTCTGTGAAAGATGAAGGGCGTTATTAAAACATCTCTAACACGTATATTTTTACTGACATTTGTGTTAAGCAATGTTTTCGCTCATCGTTCCTTAGCGTTGTCTTGTACCCTTACTGGAAATTCATTGGACAATTTAGAATACGTTAAAACAAATTGCAAAGAGATTATCGTAGAAGATTTACTGGTACCTCCTGGAAAAACTTTAGATTTTACAGGAATTTCAGACGTTAGTATAGTGTTTAAAGGAAAAACTTCATTCGAATTCAAGAAATGGAAGGGACCTTTGGTTCTTGTAAGTGGTAATAACGTTAACATCACAGGAGCAGAAGGTGCTGTAATTGATGGTAATGGTACCCAATGGTGGAACCAATTAGGAGGTAGTGGAAGCATTTTAAGACCACGAATGTTTAAACTTCGATATGTTAACAATGTGAACGTAAACAATCTTTATTTTCTTAATTCTCCTCGTCATTGTTTTGCAATTCATAACTGTACCAACGTCACTGTTACAAATGTAGTAATAGATGATTCAGCTGGTGATACTTACTACCGTATACACAATACTGATGGATTTGATGTAAAAGGATCCGAAAACGTTTATATTAAAGACGTTCAGGTATTTAACCAAGATGACTGCCTTGCTGTTAGATCTGGAAAAAATATACATTTTGCACGGGGTTATTGCTACCATGGTCATGGACTATCCATTGGGTCTGTTGGAAATCGTACCAACAACATCGTCGAAAATGTGTACATAACAGACAGCAAACTTGTAAATGCAGACAACGGTATTCGTATAAAAACCGTTTTTAATTGCACAGGTTCTGTAACAAATATCTATTATAACAACATTACGATGAGTGGCATTCAAAAAGTTGGAATTGTTCTCCAAGGTGATTATAGAAATACGAGGCCTACTGGAACACCAACTGATGGCGTGCCTATCAAAAATGTAACCATTACCAATGTTAGAGGAACCGTCAGTGAGTCGGGAACTAATATTTACATCCTTCTTGCCGATGGTGTTGCTGAGAATTGGTACTGGGAAAACGTTACTGTAACTGGTGGAATGAAAAAGAGAAAATGTTCAGGAATTCCAGAAGGATCTCATGCTTTTTGTGACTAATTTTGAACCTTAAATTAATGCATTGCTCAAGACAATTTTTTTTATATATGCATAGGTAATTCTAAAAAAATATACATAACAAGTATACCTAGACCCTAATGAAAATACTTAAACCTTCTAATTGTATGTTTGCAATTCTTAATAAAATTTTTATCAATATCAGTCTTAGGATTTTTTAACAAATTGGTCTCATGCCCTATTAAGTACCTTCATATATAAGTCTGATATATGAAAAAACAAACCAAATGATTTAAATCGACCAGTATATGAAATAAGAGGTTTTTCTGGTGTTTCATACTGCTTGCGTCATCTAGTAGGAATATAGCCAATGATAAGTTCTAATGTAGGTATACTGTACCGGTATTGTAGATATTCGTTATTTAAACATGGCCTCACTTTCTCTTTATATTTGACGTTATGTGACATTTTATTTGATTGTTTTCGTGCATGTGGATAAATCAAAAATATAATATATTTACTTAGTATTTTCTCATTAAAAGTTTGTGCAGTTGCAGCTTTGATTAATTTGATAAATGTGTAAGCTAGTATCTTGCAAGGTTATAATTTATTAGTGTTAAAAATATGGCCAACAAATTAGGGTAAGATTTCAATTGTAACTAAACACAAATATTTTTATTATAATAAATAAATCTAATTTTAGAAATAAAAATTTCAAGCAAAGGAACGGAACAGCAAAAACTGGAGGTATTAAAAGGAGATTAGCAAATCGACCAAACATAAAAACGAATGTCACCGATGCTCGTCAAAAATTAATACAAAAAAAGAGAAAAAATGTCAAGGATGCCCGTGAAGTCTTATCAAATTTAGCTAAAAAGCATGACGCTAGAGATAGACTAGAAAAATTAAGAGAAACTAGGGGGGTTGTTCAGACCAATAGCAGAGTAAGGGCTATTGGTGCTAACATTGTACAGACAACAGATAAAAATGGAAAAATAGCACTGGTAACTAAAAAAAGCAAAAGAACTGTTTCTGATATTAGTCTTGCTATTAAACAGCAATTGGGAATGTTACCTTCACGAAAGAAAATAGGTTCAGCTAAAAGATCTCCACCGAAGTCTCCTATTAACAAATTGTCAAAAAATGTTCCTCCAACTATAAGAAAAACAATTTTGAATGATATAAAATACAATCCTGATCCTATACATATAAGTTATGATGACTATCAGAGGGGTTACGGCACCCCTGAAGATTTATATAAATGGATCAGACCAACTTCGAGGTCTCTCAACTCTGAAATGATGAGTGAAAGAATGAGATACACAAGACACAATAATCCAGACTGGCCATATTTACCACCTTCATCCAGGTAATGTAATCATAAGCATTGTATTAAAGTTTTTTAAAGAGCTTTTTTGTACTTATACATAAATGTTTGGTCTCTCAGCTATGAAGTGTTTCTTGTGCATGTTATTACTAATAGCATTGTTTAGTCCTAAAAACAAAACTGAAATTTTAAAAATATTTCCTTTGATATAATAATAGTTACTCTTAAACTATTGAATTAATTTAAATAAATGAAATACTTTTTAATTGCGCATACATGGTGGTCCAAAAAGTACGCAGCATGCTTATTTTTTCAAACAAAACTTGTTCCCTATTTTAATACTAGTTCTTTTGTAGCATTTAAATTTGATTTACCATATAGAGTGTTCTTAAACTATTGAATTATTTTAAATAAATAAAATACTTTTTAATTGCACATACAGGGTGGCCCAAAAATTACGGAGTATGATTATTGTGGTCAAGCTGTAAGTTTAATCGAAAAATTTTTTAAACAAAACTTCTTCCCTATTTTAATACAAGTTCTGTAGCATTAAAATTTAGTTTACGATAGAGAGTGTTCAAAAGGAGAAAAAAGGTTTCGTTTAAATTACAACACAGTTAAGTATGGGTCCAATCGAAAAAAAACTATAGGAAAAAGTTGTTCAGAATGCTAAAATATGGGGATATGCAAAAAAAATAGCGGTAGAATTCAAATGTCTTTTTTTTTAATTAAGTAGTCTAAAAAGTTCGCAATATACTCACTGTGACCAACCTATTAGTTTAATCGATCCAATTATGCATACATAAGTTGTTCTCTATTTTAATACAAGATCATCTGTAACATCTAAACTAAATTTGGTGTACAGCGTGTTCAGAAATAGAAATAAGTAGATTTGGTTTAAACAGTAGCACTGTTAAATATGGATCCAATCTAAAAGAGTGACAAAAAGTCGTTTCAATTAAAAGCCATTCTAAAATAGCAGATTGGCCTAAAAATGTACATATTTTAAGGTCAGGGTCATCGGAGGGTTATAAATTAATATAAGCTTATAATTGCCATTTATTGACTTATACCCATTTATATAATTAAATATACTTAATCTGTAAATGATCAATTTTATATTTGACTAGCTGACGTGTTTTCCACTCGCACAGAAGTGCTTGAAGGCCACCGTTTTTTTTTTTATTTTTTATTTTTCGTAAAAGAGGGGAAACCTTCAAGACACACAGCCGTCCGTTACGACTGGGTAATGTCGGATTTCCGAGGAATGAGTCCTCGGACCTACTGACTAAAACCTCTCTACTTTAGGCTGTTCTAGGACCAATCAAAGTCCTCTTCAGCCGGGTGGCTACCGTTGATATTTATACAGAGAAAGTCTGTTCAAAAAGTATCGCGACTTTTTTGTTTTTTCAAAAATTATTTATTCATGAATATCTATTTTGTTCCCTTTAAAGTAATCCCCACCAGATATACACTTATGCCAACGTTTTTTCTAATCCTCGAAGCACTTCAAAAAATCATTTTTTGTGATCTTGTTCAGCACCTCCTTCGATGTCATTTCGGGAATAATTTAGGTGAAAATTAAGCAATGTTGGTATGAATTTTGCACCGACCCATCTACTTCTTTACACCTCATATCAATCCACTGTTCCTTAGCTGCCCTGCACTTCCTAATTATTTCCCACTTTATAGCCTTATATCTTTTTTGCCTTTTTTCGTCTGTCCTGTTTTTGTATTTCCGCCTTTCTTCTATTAATCCTACAATCTCATTTGTTATCCAGGGTTTCCTACTTTCGTTTTTTTAAGACCTAGTATATCTATAGCTGCTGACTTTAGGCACGTTTTAATGCAGTTCCATTGTGTCTCTATGTCCTTGTTATTCGTTTCTCCCGCCGCCCTCAGTATTTCGTCTGTCCTTGTACCTAGCCTATCACGCATTTCGTTACATTTTAGCTTATTTAAGTCACCTTCCCTCTTTTTCAAAATTTTCAATTTAAGATTGGTCTTCATAACTACTAAGTTATAATAGCTATCTCTATCTGCTCCTCGAAAACTCCTACAGTCCTTCACTTGATTTTTAAATCTTTACCTAACAAGTATGTAATCTAACTGATATCTCCCTAAATCACCTGACATCTTCCACGTATAGCGCCTCCTAACGTGATGGTTGAATAAGTATTCGCGACGATTAAGTTGTTTATCGCAAAATTCTATCAGCCTATCTCCCCCATCATTTCTATTGCCTATTCCCCTAATACCGACTTTAATTTAACCTTCACTATCCTATCGCTTTTTTACAAATAACTTCTACCCTGCCCTGCTTTCCTACGCAATATAATACCTACCCCCGAATTACCTTCCACCGATCCTGTATGTATTGTTCTTAAGTCTCCACTCCAGAAGTCTCCAGCTTCGAACCAACGGACTGCACTAATGCCTTCTATATCTAATTCTAATCTATTCATCTCAACTTTCAAATTTTCTAATTTCCCTACTTGCCTCATTGTCCTAACATTCCACGCTCCGATTCGTGAAATATTGCACCTACCCCTATTACGCTTATTGATGACATACCCCAGGTAGTCCCGCCCGGACAGCTGAATGGGGGACTAATTTACGTTCGGAGTGCGTTACCCCAGAGGACGCCATCATTTAATTTATGTAGTTGCACGTTTTACTCTGGATAATAATGTGGTGGTTTCCCGTTGCCTTCCACATCGCAGTATTTTGCATCAGAGTGCTATACCGATCCTCCTAAATCTCTGCCACCCTGAGTACTGAAAGAGCTGCTGCCCTCTTTCAGGGACTTGTCTTAGTCTCGTTTCTCTTTAAGAACTCCCCCGATTATGATTGAACCTGGCTCCCTAAATCATCGAAACTCGCAAGCCGATCTACCCACTCTAGTTTGTACAAGAGTTTCTTCAAGGTTCAAGTCCCATCAGATCAGCTAAAGTACCAACATAACACCACAAAAAAATCAAAAATGGAAATTCAAAATTCGCGATACTTTTTGAACAGACCTCATATACCTGAGTAGCTGATGTTAAGGGTGCTATTTTGAATTAATTTAATTAATTGAACATTTAAACAAATGAAGTGGCATCAAATCATCGACCCTTTTTGCCCTCATTTCCCAGCCTATTTCTTGAATAAAGTCTTTACTTGTAATGCTGTTTTAAAAAAAAATTCTTTATTTAATTTAAATTCTTTAATCAATCAAAAAATCAATTATCTAGAATGCCTATTGCGCCAACTGCATATATTGATTTGGATAAACCAGACGAAGATGAAGAAATGCCCTTGGTACCATACTCTCCAGTTTCAAATACGAGTTTTAGAGCTAGCATTTTATCTCGTCTAGACTCCAACCCTCCACAGCATCAATCTCATGGAATTTTTGCCAATCAGACAAAAACAAAAGTTGTTGTGCCAGCTGGACATAGAATAGTTGTATCAAATTTACAACAGACCGTTACACAAGATGACATTCGAGTAAGATTTCGTTACAGTGTTGAACTGTTGTTTTTTAGCACTTTTAAAATAGTGAAAATTTGATTTTTTATCTTACTTAATGTTTAACGTTTATTTTGTTTCGTAGCTAATTTTTAGAAGCTTTACTGAATAAAATTTTGCAGATGTGTCTCATATTTACTATTTTTTTACTGATTTCTTTAACAGTGTAGCTAAAATATGTTGTGTAGGAAAATCAGTAATTTATAAGATAAAACAGAAACGGGAAACAATCTCTAGAACAATAAGATATATAACAATTAAGATATAAAAAACGATTTGAAATTTAGCTTGTTAAAATATCCTCTCAACCAGAGCGGTGTCTTAATGAGCATCTCTGCAATATTATTTTATGTTTTTATGTATTTTGTTGTTAACAACTATTATTTTTTCTGGTCACATTATTGAATTAAGAATAAAATGAAACTCATGAAATACATAAATTGCTTTGTAGATACATTGTTATGTTTTTCAATCAAAACAAAAGCTAATTAATTAAATTTGGTTAAGGAACTGTTTGAAGACATTGGTCAACTGTTAGTTGCTCGATTGGTAAGACCCGGAACGGCTGAAGTAATTTATAAAAATCTCAGAGATGCTCAAAAAGCAGTTGATACTTATCACAATAGACAGTTGGATGGACAGCCTATGAAATGCTTTTTGGTTAATAAGAGACCGTTGAACAACCCTACAGGATCTGCAGTTCAAAACCAGGAATTGTAAGCATCCTTATTTATTTATTATCATTTATATAGTCATCATCATAAGGTCGTCAGTCCTAAGACTGGTTGGACACGTACCTCCACTCTTTCCTATCCTGAGCTAAACTTCGCATTTCCCTAAAACTAGAACAGCCCACATCCTTAACTATTTGCGAACAGTAATCAAATCTAGGTCTACCTCTCTCCCTCCTAACTCCTGTTTCTACCTCTAATATGTCTCTGACTAGGCCTAAGAAGGTGTCCTACCAACCTAATTCGCCTATTTTTTATTGACTTCCATAGAGTCCTCTGTTCTCCTATTCTTTCCAATACCTCTTCATTTCTAACCTTTTCCACCCACGATATCCTCATCATCCGCCTATAACACCACATTTCGAACGCTTCTAACCTTTTCTTTTCCGCCGCGCCCACTGTCCATGTTTCGCACCCCTACAATGCCGTGCTCCAAACATACACCTTTAACAACCTTTTTCGAATTTCTAAATTAACCGTTCGCGAGCATAGAAGTGACTTCTTTTTATTAAAGGCGACACGACACTGTGCTATCCTCTGCTTTATATCCCTACTACTACTACTACTCCTTCCGTCCTGACTTATCTGACTTCCTAGGTATCTAAAATTAGCCACTTCTTCTAATTTTTCGTCTCCTATCTTTATATTCACCCTTTTCCTACTTTTTCTTTCCTTGCATACCGGCTTTTATGTAGTATTAACTTAAAAATATCTAAATAATTGCAGAACTTCGCCAACTACTAAAAGAACAACTATGTCCAAAACATCGGCGGAGAAGGTTGTTCCTGATATTCAAACAATCCACAAGGTTCTGTTCCGAAGAGGAGATTAATCTATTATTTTTAAAGTGTAAGAAATTAAATATCCAAGCAATTTATCTTTTCTTGTGTCTTTATTCTTTTAATCTGTAATTTATGTATTGTTACATTTCTATACTTGATATTGATCATATTACTAGCTACAATTTCAGAAATTGGTGTACTTTTCATGTAAGTTCGATTAATAAAAACACTGAACTAGTTTTAGCACAATATGCTTCTCGTTATTTATACCATAAGACTGTTGACCTATCCTTAATATTCCAAATAAAAGTTAGATACAAAATTCAAATATATNGTATTTTGGTAAGTCCGTCTAGGAGTCTAGGTATCATAAAAATAAATAACATATACAATTCTACCCTTTGGGTCAATAACATCATCTGGACGGAAATATCAAAATTAGCAGAATCAAGGGGACGTTTCACTCCCAGAATATTTTAATACTATGTACCAATGATTGTAATCAATCATTTTTAAGTAGGTACCGCGTACTAATCTACGGCAGATCGGTATTGATACTTCGGCATGTAACATTATTTATATCATTTTATATAGTAGCATTTGCACTTAGTTTATATCATTGTAGCTTTATTCTGAATTAAAGAAAAGTTTGAAATTGAAAATCCTCATAAAGTTAAGAATGTAAAATAAGATAGTTTTTATATCAACTTTACTGCATTTCACATTCAAAACTACTGAAAAGGAGGCCTTAACCATTCTTGTGGTATTGGGATATCAGCATCGAAAGCAGTTCCTTATTCTTCAACATTGTGATGACAGGAAACGATTATAAATAACTGCAGAGATAGAGTTGAAAAGGCCAGTTTATGTTTTACTTCCGTGCATTAAAACTTTTATGTTATGCGCGCCTGATGAAAATGTGAGTAATTTTCTGGAAGAAATGCCGGCTCCGCGACGTTAGCACCTTGCATATGAAATGAAAAAAAATCATGCCATTTGAAAGATCAAAAAATTATCATAAAAGGTCTAAGCACCCTATTTCTAATAAATAAAAATAATGAAAGATGTGTTCTATAGATAATTAGTTATCTGCTGATAAGTGGTCAGATAAAATAAATTCTTTGAAAAAAGAATTAAGTGGCGCATGCATTACGGTTATTCAGACAGAGTATCAGGAGATCAGCGCATGAATACAAGACCCAACAATTTGTATACTATGTAAATCAACATACAGGCAAAGCCTCCTAGTTGGATGTATCGGATTTTATGCTTTACCCTCTGAATTACATTTTTATATCGGGTGAAATAAATAAAATCAATCTAGTCGGGCCTCACGCATGTACGACGGCACTTGATTATTTTTTCAAAAATGATCTGACAGATTATTTATCTCAGCTAACCAATTATCGATAGATTATTTATCAAATATGTCTTTCGTTATTTTTATCTAACAGGTAAGGGGTAATTAAACAAAGAGAACACTTCAAATATCACAGCACTTAGAAAAACCGCGGACACGTATTTTACTGAGACAAAACCGTTTACATCGATTTTCTTATAAACTCGTTTATTATATTAATTCCACTAACAAATAAAATAGGTACACGGTACACATAAAAATTTAATTTCAAGAATGCGAAACATCTCTTTACCACGAAAATATTCCATTAGTGAATAGGATAGCATAACTACGAGTGTAACTACTCTACTGAAACAAAATCTTGAATCGTCTATCCTACGCTGTGAAAAGTTTGCGAGAAGGCGATGTAGTCTACTATCCAATTATGTTTTCCTGGTAATAATATTGGTAATTTTGTGGCAGAAAGGCGTATGTACAAACTATAAATAACGTTAAATTGTTTATTTATTTATTGAGGTCATTGTTGAAACTTACATGCAGTGAGTATGATTGTTAACTATGACGAATACTATTATAAACAGTTATAAAAACATTTTAGGAGTAGGTATCTACAAACTGCAATAGTGAGGAACTCAGTGCATCTGTTTTAATGAGTGACAATATTTGTCTAGAGAAAGAAACTTAGTTGGTATTTTTTTTTATTTTAGAAATACTAAAAATATTGAATTCAATGAGAAGGAGAATGTGCGTCACAGTAGCTGCTGATAGTATTCAGCGGTTAATATTCTTGTAGATTAAGAAATTACAGCTTTACATGTAATTATTAGATAATAAAATATTGTAATTGGCGTAAACCATTTATCATCCTGCATCTTTGAAACAACGTGACTTTCCAAAAACCATTAAACCACAAAATTTTCTTAAAATATCCGCTGCAAGAATTGCTGTTGGCCGTAGGTATGCTTAATTATCAACGTGTGCATTAATGGGATAGACAATATTCAAGTTTTTTAACGCAACTCCCCTCCTCCCAATTCTAAATCTTAGATGCTCTATTGGTACTATTTACTTATAAGGAAATGTATACCTATTATCTATTAATAATTTATTAGAAACCTTAAATTAGTATATAAACTCAACATACCTTTAATATGTAAGTTCAATAAGCATTCCTTCGCTGTAGCAGAACTATTTACATTTTTTAACAGTTTTGCTCTGTTCACTAATATTCCACTTGTTCACGTCAGCACTAATCATAAAATTTTTAACCTTTTTGCCTTGTCCACTATATCCCACTTCTTCACAACATCACTAATCATCGAATACTAATTATACAATTGTTATTAATTCATACCGAATAAAATGTAAACTAATATTGAACATTTACATAGTTTCAAATAAAACACTAAGAAGTTTTTCCCGTCCGTCTTTACTTGGATACATATCGAACCGAACATCTTTAAGAAACACAACTAGTCTGACTAAATCCGAAGATAATTATTTAGAATCTTTATAAAGTAAAGTTAATTTTTAGCTATACGCTTAAATATCAATTTATTTTAGTAAATAGTCTTTTAGTTAGAATTTAGAGTAATTTTCGTGTTTTTATAACATTGAAACTCGGTTCGAGGAAGACTGCACCCATCAATCTACACTTTGCCACTGATCTTGATCCCTATTCCCCTTCCATAAGTATAACACAGGATAATACTTGAACAGACAAAAAATGACCAAATATGATTCCTTAACTCCCTCTTTTATCTGTGTTTTGTAAGAAATGAGAATCAGATTGTAAACTCAAATCACAAATCTCCTTAAATTTTTGTGATTAATTGGAATTTCTTATTTTTGTATCTGTCTTTTTGGAAACAAATTGTATCTAGTTAACAAAAAGCATAGATAAAAATAAATGTCCGAAAAGTAGTAGGTACTTATAGGTTTATATTAATTTTTTATTTGAAATTCTGCTTCATATGAGTAGCTATTATACTCTAAACATAAACTAAAAAAAATTATAACATAAGCATTTCTGAATTAATTAATTTTTACTTCTGTTTTTATTATTTACTAGAAAAAGCTGGTACAGTGTATGCCTATTGTACTGTAAAAAATTGAATACTGGTAAATCTTATATTTTATTTGTAAATCATTTAGGATTTACCAGCATGAGCTGGATTTTTATAAAATAAGACAATTTGTTGAATTTTTACTTTTAGAGTTTGATACATGCTTTGCTTTACCGATAGCGTTGGCGATGAGTAGATAAATATTGAATTTGGGAATAAAAACAATGCAAATTACTTGTAAAATTAGAAATTTAATATTGAAAATTACAATTACAGTTAAATTAATGTAATTTTAAAACTTTAAAATTCATTTTGAAAAGTAAAACGCCGTAGAAAAATAAAGAAAGATATAAGACAAAGAAGTGAGTGTTCGAAAAGTTGCTGGAAAATTGAGAAAAGATTCAAATCTTCAGTCTACAGCAATTACATTTATGATACACCTTTAAATTTATAAAATATTCGATTGAAAACTTCTCTTTTGTTAGAGCACGTTAAGGGTATTTTGGTAAGTCCGTCTAGGAGTCTAGGTATCATAAAAATAAATAACATATACAATTCTACCCTTTGGGTCAATAACATCATCTGGACGGAAATATCAAAATTAGCAGAATCAAGGGGACGTTTCACTCCCAGAATATTTTAATACTATGTACCAATGATTGTAATCAATCATTTTTAAGTAGGTACCGCGTACTAATCTACGGCAGATCGGTATTGATACTTCGGCATGTAACATTATTTATATCATTTTATATAGTAGCATTTGCACTTAGTTTATATCATTGTAGCTTTAGTTTTATTATTAAATTTTAAAGGAATAACAATTTTTACTTTAATAATTTCCAAGTAATAATACCAAATACAAGTGATTAGCTTAAGGAACGTAAACTGTGATTTATTTTTGAAAATAAAATTTTGATTGTTTATTTTACTGTTTTATTTTTCAAAAAAATACTTTGAAAATGTTTGGAAATTATGTAGGTTACGTAGTAATATAGCTCATGTACGATATAATTGTCATCATCATCATCGTCATATGTTAAGGTCGTCAGTCCTAAGACTGGTTGGACACGTACCTCTACTCTTTCTTATCCTGAGCTAAACTTCACATTTCCTTAAAACTAGAATAACCCACATCCTTAACTATTTGCGAACAGTAATCTATTCTAGGTCTACCTCTACCCCTTCTGCCTCCAATATGTCTCTGGTATAATTGTAATGCTTAATAAAGAATTCCATTGTTTTATTCCATAAACCATTTACTAATCGTCATTATTTAAACAAACTAGCACGTTTTATCAAACTGAAGTGGTAAAAGCCCGTTTTTTTTGTTTTTGTGGAAGAAGGAAATCTTTAAATGACACCAACACAACTGGGTAGTATTCTATTTACTCTAAGGATCACCTAACAACTAAAACCGCTCTACCTGGGGCCGTTTTAGGACCTATCAGTTCAGATCCTTTTCCGCTGTGGTAAAAACTCGAAAAATCGCCTCAATTTATAGTAATCGTTGCTTTTACCATCTTATTTTGATAAATTCAAGGATTTTCAGTTTACCAATATTCATAATGCTTTTACATGATATAAGTATTTATGTATATTCGTCGACGATTACTCATTATTTATTCAAGTTTGAATTGATACAGTTTTAGTGATAATGTTTTAAAATGATTTGAAAGTTATCCTTATAAAGAAGTAGGAAATTTGTAGGTCAAAAAAAGAGGGCACAGTAAATATTAAAGTTTCATATTTGATATAAAATTTCGTTAATACATATTTCTTAATAAAAATAATTTAAATGCTGTTTATATTAAAAGTAATTTTTTATTGAAAAGGACATCAGTTATAATTTGTAAGCTATCTAATCTAATTTAATTTAACAAAACATTATTTGGATAACAGTATTAATTACTTTTTTTTCAATTTATTGGAAGAAATACGTACGTACATATGGAAGTTTTGGGGTGCCTAAAAAAGTATTCAGTGAAATTTACTCTCCTTTAAAATACAAATAAATGTAAATGTGTGTAAATGTTTATTGCATTGATAGGCAACAAAACAAAATTAATTCAAAATGACGTTTACTACTGTTGCATAAGAATTTTTACAATAGACCGCAATTTATACAAACGTAGTACACCTGCCGCTTGGTTTTTGTTGGTTTTAAAATTCTATATACATACATAGTTTGTTTTATTCATCTCCATTCATTGACAGTAGACGATTCAAAGATTCTACAGTTTGTCTCCAATTTGTTTTTGTAAACATGGAAAACTATTCAGTGTTTGCATCGGCATTTCACTGTCTGATCCATACCATTCCTGAAAGCGAGTAAGGAGCACACTCGGAATCAGGACATTCAGCTCACGTCCGTAGCCCAATATCGCTCATTTGGTTTCTATTTCCGCCGCCTACTATATAAAACACTCAACCGTGTTTTCATCATCTATTACACTTTGCTCAGCGCCATGGCGATCACAATGCGGACATTTTTAATAGCGGTAGCCTTATTAGGGCCAGTTTACGCTAGCCCTTCGGCCCTCGAAGTTGTTCAAGATATGTTTAACACTTGTATCAAAGATTTCTCAGTGGGTTGTGTTAAACCAAAAGCAATGTCATGGGTGAGCAATGTGATTAATCAACCTGTCATTAAGATTACTGAAGATTTACTTGTAGTAAAGAAGAGCAACCCCAGTTTAGAAGAGGTAAGAATAATTTACTCATGTTTTTCAACATTATGTTTATCAATAACTTTTTAGGAAGAGCGAAGCAACCCAGCTGATATCTTCGATAAATTTGAAGATTTTCTGCAGTCGCATGATGTTGTGGCCAAAGTGCCGGAAATTTTGAGGCCCACTGGTCCTCTTGCAGAGCTACTACCAAGATCTTTCCAACCTACAGATTTGTCTGTACCAATGGCAGCTACTGGTATAAAGATTTGATTGATCATCGAAATTCTAAATGTTAAGTTTTCATTTTTATTTTGTAGGAAGATCGAAGATGGTAAAGAAAATCCTGGTGCCCTTCTTGTTGGGTCTTAAGTTCAAAACTGCTGTTTTAGTACCTTTGGCGCTTGCCTTGATAGCCCTGAAAACATGGAAGGCTCTTACGTTGGGATTACTGTCGTTGGTTCTTACTGGTGCTTTAGTCATCTTCAGGTTGACGAAACCAAAGGTATTGTTTAATAATTGTTTAAAATAAATGTCTGAATTCATTTTAATGGTCTGTTAACAGGTTACCACATATGAAGTAGTTCATTATCCACAACATGAACATGTTCATCACATTGAAGCTGCTGCGGCACCCACTGGTTGGGAACAACCTGTTTATGGAAGATCCCTGAATCCTCAAGAAATGGCCTACAGTGCTTATGTTAAGCAGTGATTGAATGTTGTTGAAATGATTGATGTTAATGTTAAAAGGCTAATTTATTATTTATTTAAATAAATCATTGTTACAAAAACTTTATTTACGTAGTAAATCTTAAAAGCTTATCGAAAACAGCCAACAATCTTGAAACACAATAAAACGAAATATAACATAAATATTACGTAAACAATATCCATAAGTTCTCAACAGTGAATTATATTAAGTTCTTTTTTTTTTGAAGGAATTCTTTTTCTCATTTTTATATTTCATTTGGAAAACATTGTTCTTTTGAGTCAAGTAAGGATTAGAACAATACATACGATTTATTTTGAACAAAATAGGTACTTACCCACTATATTAAAATGATGAATGTTATACATTGAAAGTAAAGTAACAAGAGTCATTAATGATTTAATTAACAATAGTAGTTGTTTTATTTTTGGCAGCGAGCATGATTAACGACCTTCTTCTTTTAAATTAATGAATCAATAACAGGAACATGGTTTTTGATCGATGTTGTAGTGCAGTAGTGAAATTGTAAGAAAAAATTACAAGATTTGAACTACATAAATGTATTCTTATAACGTATTCCAATATATATGATCATCTGAAAGAAATAAAAAAGCTGTAACTGCGCTACGACTTTACTAACCCATTCAAAAGTTGTAAGCCCAACTTAGTAACGTAGTCACACTACATTAATAATATAATTTTATGAAGTAAGATAAAATGTCTGATTGATTGAATGACGTTTTCACTAATCTCAATATTTTATTATCTAGGAAAATTTTCAGAATAAAGGTCTAGTAGATACTACTACTACTATGATAGGATACAGGACTATTTACAACTTTTGTAGGGGCAGTTAAAGACGTAGAATGGTTTCAGTTTTTATACATTAGGTTTACTTAAAACATTTGGAGCTATCTGAAATTTATTCTGAATACGTGTCGTAATAATAAAAAAAAGGTTAAATGTCTCGATTAGATTTAAATATGTATAAAAATATATGTATATGTATATATAAATACGTTGGAGCGGAATTCATTTCTTTCCCTAGTTTTGAGGATTGGAAAAAATTAATTAAAGCAACCAAACCCAACCCATAGATTAAAGAATCAATCAAAAAATAAGGTTTAATATTTTTAAAGATATATACACAGCATCGACAACACTTCCTCCTTCCCCCCTTTCCCTGGGGATTTTATGCACCTGCTAAAAAGTCTTATTTCTGATTGATTCGGTTAGCTATGAGTTGGGTTTGATTGTTTTACCTACTTTTTTCCAGCCCCAACGTTAGTGGAAGGAAACAGGAAAACGTTACATTTACATAATATATATTTCTGATATGTCCGCATTTAAACCTTAAATTTAATATTAACCTCCATTCGTGTTTTGTAACCGACATATTATATTTAACGGAATGTTATACAGCCTATGTTACGCTGGGTATACGTACAAATCCAACGAGACCTCATTTCTCCAAATTTGATAAATGGAATCCATGTATGAAGAAGCAGTACTTAGGGGTACATAGACTGTCAAACCTTCCCTATTTTGTAGCACATTGGGTAAAAAAGTTAAATGATTGACGAAATCAAGAACTTACCACTACTATCAGATCCAAAGTGTTTTGGAATTGATAAAATAAATTGCTGAAACCATCCACTTGGGTCTTTTTGAATTTAAATAAGAATAATCGTAATGCTGACAAAATAAACGATTCAATTATTCACCAGAGAAAAGAGTAATCCTTGCATATTAATGTATGATATAATTATTTGTTATATTCAATACAAAATCTGTCTCACTTGTGCTCCTTATAAAATATAAATAACATAAAGTAATCAAATTCCTTTTTTTCTATCAACCTATTACCCTCTATATTTTAGTTGATTAAATTTTTTCACACGTACCCAAAGGCTTCATTAATCATACTTAAAAAGAACAAGTGTAAGTTTATAATATTCCAAAGCGAAAATGAACCGAAAGAAAGCAAGTTTGTGCTAAATAGTTAGAGCAGCTGATCCGTTTTGAATAATACATTTCGTCCTTGTTTTGGCGTTCGAAAATCTGTCACAAAGCCAAACGAAAACTGATCTTCGGAAGCGGTATAAACCTTTACATATACACATGAAAATTAGTATGCAGACGTAGTACTTTTGAAATCCTTCGCGTCACACAACAGAACTCCTGGTTCTCTGCTTTGCTTGACTTGACGGTACCAATTCCAAATTAGATAAAAGAAATGCGTCCACCTACTAAACCAATGCGGCAACTACTTCCGATAGCGGAACGATAAAAGGCCAGGGCGTGTTCCAAAAAGCATCAGTCGCTTCAAGTCCTTCAGCTGAACAGCATACGATGGCATTTTTCAAAAGTTGTTTGGCAGTTGCGTTAATTGCATCGGTAGCTTATGGAAGTCCGGCACCCAAACCAGCCTTCTGGAAAGGTTGGTCTTTGGACAACATCGAAGAGATGAGGGCAATGTGTGCTAGCGACGACGATGCCATCGCCTGTCTCAAATACAAATTCCTGTCGTTTGTCGACAACATGTTCAAGAAGGATTCCCTTCAAGTGAGTGAACATACGGTGATCAAGAAGTGTTAAAGTGTTGTTATCTAAATTTTGCTTGTTGTGTTTTAGCTGTCAGACAGTGTAGAAATCAATCGCAACAGTTTCCGTGCCAACGAGGTCAGTGCTAGGAGCGAATCATCGGTGGAAGATCTTGTTGAAAGTTACATCCAATCTCATGACGTTACTTTCAAACTTCCTGGATCTGCAATTACCGTGGAAGGAAGAAATTTAGACAACGAAGTACTTAACTTCAAAGTTAATTTTTCTGGTGAAAGCGAAGTCGGGGAAGCCAGGAAGAAGGGTAAACTTCTTCGAAAATTTGTATGGATGAGTTTCTAAATTAAATTATTATTTCAGTGAAAAAGTCCAAGCTCAAGAAGATCATCGTACCCATCCTTGTCTTCATTCTATTGAAGGCTATGACTCTCATTCCCTTGGCTCTCGGTGCCCTTGGTCTCAAAGCGTGGAACGCTCTTCAACTATCCTTCTTCTCCTTTGTCATTTCCGTAGCACTTGCAGTATTCCAACTTTGCAAAAAAATCGCAGCTGATAGCGCGCCACCTCAGATTTCTGCTCACGGTCCATGGGAAAGTGCCCATTTGGCTGCTCGGTCATTTGAAGAGAAGACTCCTGTTAACGAAGAGGAAGCTCAAAAGCTCGCATATGCCTCATATCTTTAATAAAAAATACGTTTTAGTGTTGTCCGACCTTGTTCGATTTTAATTTATTGAATTTGTTAATTATTTATAATAAATTATGAATTTAACATGTTATTGTATTATTCATCAACGACATGATGATACAACACAGTAGTTTTTATGAAATACAGAAGTTAAAGCTAAACTTATTCCAAGCGGAGACTTTTTCTGTTTCTTCGAGATAAAGTTTTGAGTTGTTTACTCGAAATGGATAACGTAATATACATATAATAATAAAAAAATAACTTCGAAAGTTTAATGTAATAATTGATTTCATTGAAATCTAATAATACTTTTCCCTAAGCCTTTAAATATTGACCTCCAATATAGCTAATTGTTTTTTAAAATTTATCTTTATATGAAGTTCTTATTTTGATTACTAAAGCAGTCCATTAAAATGGCAAATGATTCTTTTTAAATAAAGTAATTGTAACATAATTTTTAATACCTAATGGTAGACACTACCCCAGACACGTTATTGTTTTGCCAAAAAGTAAACTCAAAACATGGCATCGTATTCAATATTTCTTATTGATATGTATACGTAAAATAAGGCAGAAGCAGCTTTTATTAATTTCACAAAGTTGAAATGAAATCACAAAATATATTTACATTATTTAGGCAATGTTCTGAAAATTGTTATCGCTTTTAAAGTTAACATTTTTATCATTATATTGTTGAATGATACTAAAATAGAAAACATATTGCACATGTTCCATTTTCATGTATCTATTATTTTGTTTTAACGAAAATGTGGCAGGTAAACTGTCGGTTAATATTACGTTTAGTCGATTTTCCACTATTGGGCACCTACTAAAGTATTCTTTACTTGTTAGCCTTTAGTACAGTTATACACCGTAAAATTAGAAATGAAATGCGCATTGTTACATGGATAGAATATTAATTTTAATAACTCAAATATTAGTTTCATATTTAAATTTTAACAGTTCTAATTGGATTCCTATTATGCCCTTTTAGTTAGAATTTAGAGTAATTTTCGTGTTTTTATAACATTGAAACTCGGTTCGAGGAAGACTGCACCCATCAATCTACACTTTGCCACTGATCTTGATCCCTATTCCCCTTCCATAAGTATAACACAGGATAATACTTGAACAGACAAAAAATGACCAAATATGATTCCTTAACTCCCTCTTTTATCTGTGTTTTGTAAGAAATGAGAATCAGATTGTAAACTCAAATCACAAATCTCCTTAAATTTTTGTGATTAATTGGAATTTCTTATTTTTGTATCTGTCTTTTTGGAAACAAATTGTATCTAGTTAACAAAAAGCATAGATAAAAATAAATGTCCGAAAAGTAGTAGGTACTTATAGGTTTATATTAATTTTTTATTTGAAATTCTGCTTCATATGAGTAGCTATTATACTCTAAACATAAACTAAAAAAAATTATAACATAAGCNAGGAATAGAAGAAGAATTTTAAATACGGAGGTTAACAACGTCTTTTTCAGTTAAACTCGTCAATAAATTCTAGGTGCAATATCTCTAGAACAAATAATAATTTATTTTGTTCTTTTGCTTTTTCATTTACAAAATTACCAATTTCCTTAATTTAAATAAACACGATATACACCGTCAACACACTTTCCTTGTATTGTTCATTTATTAATGTTTTCAGTAGATCCCTTTTCTATTTTCACGTTTTGAACACGAAACAGATTATACTGTTGAGGTGCACAAATATAATCCTTACAAATAATAATTGTGTTACATAGACAATTTTATTCAGCTTTTGTAATAATTTTTGCTAGAAAAGCAAAATGTTCTTATTCCTCTATCTCGTAAGCCGAAAATGCTACTTAAGAGCCTCGCAGTTTTTAATTAACGAGAACAGTGACTTTTTGTTTCCTTTTTCATAGATAATAAATATTATGTAATGTGATGTTTATTTTTTAAATGTTTTAATAAACACTTTTATACTAAACTTAAAATCACGATTGAAAAATGTATTAAATAAAAATTAATCAAAAATATACCGATAGTATATTGTTGCTATCGTATAATTAAATTAATGAGACATTAAGATACCTTTGATAAAATATTAAATTATTACATAAAACAACTACTTCCAGTGTTCTTCTTTTCTACAATAGTTGTCTGATCTATAATTTGATGACAATATCTGGAAGTTTAATGATTTTTACACTGTGATATACAATACATGCGTATATTGTTCTAAATTGTCATCTAATGAAGTCACAGGGTAATTACTCAATGAAAGAATTTTTGAACCTTTAAGTGCCTTTTTGTCATCAAAGTAAACAATTATACAACTACTGTAATTATTTTACTACTATTTTCGTGCAGGTATAACCTACAATTTGACTAACTTTTACTTTTCTCTTTCAAGCAATTCCATCTCCATATTTGTTTCAAAACCCATCCAAATTCCTCTTCGTCTTGGCCGTATTTTCGCCTGCGGCATCCTGTCGTCTCACCTACTTCTTCCGATTGTATCCTCTCTACCCTGCCGTCCGACCTTTACCGCAAAGGATAACGACAGCCAGAGGATTTCGAAATCGTCCTCACACGCACATACTTACGTATACGTCGATGTTACCGGAATTCCTTGCGGAACATCGCCATAAGCAAACGCCTGTCTGCGTATTGCTTATTAAAAAGCAAAGCACAATTGGACTCCTAACCCGGTATCAGTTGAATATATAACCGCACCCACGTATCGGTGTTTGTCATTGTCAGTGTTCTTTTCGATCATGTTGTGGCGGTTGGCAGCAGTTCTTTCCGTGGTGGCGATTGCCCTTGGAGGCGCCCAAGAAGATGAATTGAGGAACGGTGATCAGCTCGTCTCATCTGTTTTAATGGACTGTACGGAAATGGACTGTGTTAAAACAAAGGTACTTACGTACCTTGATAATGTGCTGGGATTAAAAACTCCTGCCGAAACTGCCAGAGGATTCAAGGTACTTACATTTCTGTCAGGTCATAAAAAAATTTAAAGAGCATTTTTGAAATATTTCCCAGTGGAATATTAAATCTTAATCTTAAAATTGTAATAAAAAGAATGCATTTTTAAGAAATTCAAGACAGTTTATTATATTACCCTTACCAGAATACAGAACTTAAACATTTGGTAATTAAAAAATAGTCGAAGCATTCTTTTTATCCCTTACGTGGAATTACCTAAAAAAATTTCTTTTTTTTTAGAACATCGATGCTGCTATTTTCAAAAGAGCTGCACGTGTTTTGAAGACTCACGAATTTCGGGTGAAACTCCCAGAAATATTCTTTGGAGATAGTGAGGTAGTTTACAATCCTCGTACTGGATTAGATGTTGTTGACAGTGAAACAGAAGGTAGGATATTTCTCTTTTACAATTCGTGTAGCTAAAAGGGACTAAAATAATAATTTTATTTGTTGATTCAGCTAGAGGAGCTTTGAAGAAGAAACTCCTCCTCCCAGTCCTTTTACTACTAAAATTGAAATTGAAAGCTTTAATGCCCATCTTCTTGGCCCTAATTGGAATTAAAGCCATCAAAGCTCTAATTCTCAGCAAATTGGCAATTCTAATTGTCATTGGTTTCGTTGTTTATCAATTAGTTACCAAAGCAGGTAAAGAATCATACTTAATTAAATGCACTATCATTGAATTACATCTAAAATTTGCATTAATTTTTGAATTAATGTTTTCTGTACCCTGTGATTGTTTTATAGGTGTGACCATGCCCATGGCGATGAATGCTGCTCCTGCTGAACCACCAGCACCCATGTACGGGCCTCCATCAACCTCTCCACCAAACTCCTACGAGCCCAGTTGGGAGCCAAATAGTGGAGGACCTTATGCTAGAGTATGGAACAACAACCCCTCACCTGTGGAGAACAGTGCACAAAATTTGGCATACTCTGCATATTATCCTGGGGCGGTTACCACCACGACAAATAGACCTTAAATTTCGACCAATACCAAAGTACTGTTAATTGTAAAAATGTCGTTATTATTTATTTATAGTGGCAATAAATTATTTATTTAATTGATAAAAAAGTGAATTTCAATCTGTAATTATCTGGAAATACCCATAAAAATTTAACAACAAGTCTTCAAACCACAAAGTTTAATCATTTTTACAAACAATGGAGAGTTTATAATAAATAATTTTTAATATTCTGTGAAGCAGTGAAACGAGACGTGCTCTTTATTTTGTTATAAATTTAATTAAACTAACCAGTGGCGTAGCGTGCCTTGGAGGGGCCCTATATCAAATTAGTTGAAGGGTAAAGATTTCTCACAAAAGCAACAAAAATGCTTCCATTAAATTAAAATAACAATTCAAATTAAATATACACTTTTCTTGCCTTTTTTTCGATAAATTGATTTATTAAATCATCTACAGCTGAAGACGATTTCAGTTTTTCTAAAATTTCTGCCTCTATAGATAACTGTGACAAGTCTGATAGCCGTTCCCGCCCCATCGAAGTCCTTAGGTAATTTTTGATCAGTTTTAATTTTGAAAAACTTCTTTCAGCTGTTGCGGTTGTAACTGGAAGCGTCAAGAATGGAAAGCATGCTGTTATTACCTCTGGAAAACTGGATGCAAAGCTATTAAATTTTATCAGCAATAATTCCATGAATTCCTTAATGGAATGATTTTTTGAATTTCAGATTTTTAAGCATGTTTTTGAGAGCAATTAATTGTTCACAAAGATTAACTGAGATGCCTTTACTGTATTTAGCCGACAGTTTTCCGGAAGCGTTTTTTATCATTTCGTTTGAAGAAGTTTTGAGCATTTTTTTTATAACCTCCCCCCTCATCTGTTTACTTTTTTTTTTCATAACTTCGGTGGGATAATTCTTTTCCTTTCGCTCATTATTTTCACAAATCAAACTAATTAGCCAATAAATAGTCAGAAGAACAAGATTGTATTGTATTACAATTTACAATGTAATAACGTTTGAACCGGAATGAAATAAAACGCGTAAATATTACTTCCATGGTTTGTCATTGTACATCGGTTTCCCTCCGTGTAATAGCATTAAACTTAAACGGGGGAATCCCTCAATAACCGATGTAGCATGTTGCCAACTTTTGAGCACACGCTTAACCCGGGGAAAAAGAGATTGCTTTCTTGACTTTTGTCATTTCTGACGTGAAAACTCTATATAGGCACGTCTGACAGTTTTTTTATATGTTTGTTTTTCCCCGGAAGCACGAGATTAAGTGACATTGTGGATAACATTTTACTAATTTTCGCTTACACACATGCACACACCTCTGAAATTAACCTAACTTTTTTGATGTTTTACTTTCTTTCATTTTGTAACATTTTTAACCTACAATACATACAACCAACATTGGAGCTAGACCGTCAGAGATATCTAGCTAAATCGATTACTAGACGTAGGTACTATTTATTAATTTTTTATCAAGCCAACTATTATATATATATTATGAAGCATAAAGGGGCTTAGGGTTTATCAATTTTGATTAATGTTTGTTTTATGTTAAACGCACGTGTGGATTGTAACATAAGGTTGAATTAAGGGCGTTCGGGTATTAGGAATTCATAAGCATCGTACAGATTGTACAGTAGTAGCGAAGCAAAGCGCGCGTTTAGTGCAAACGAGTACGTTATTCGTACAACAGTGTGCGTGTTATAAGCGTAACACCGTTCCATAGACGGAGTTAAAGGTAAACGCATACGTAGTGCCCGTTCTCCTTGCGCTTATATTTTCCTGTTACCATGACAGACAGCTTTCTGGAAGAAAATCGTATATCAAAGGTTTAATAGGCACTTTGGGAACGTTGTTTAATTTAATCTCTCTTGACTTGTCTGCTATTCTAGCGGAAAATTGGCTTTTTATGCGCCAGAATAGACAGCTTTTTCTAATTTAAAGATACTTCTAATTTTTATGCTGCACATTTCTTCAGGTGTAAAATGGGAGGTGCTTTTTTTAATTATCGTCGTAAATTTTTATGATACTTACGATAAAAGAAAAGAGTTTTATCGAGTGATCGACTGATTAATTCATAACCGTAAACGTAAAAATATAAACGGTATAAAATACACTGAGACAATATATCTATCCAATTTTCAATTTTTATTTTTCAATAAAACAGTAGTTATAAATTAACAACTGTATTTTTCTAAAAGTTATACGCACTATATAATAAACTCATATTTACTTATATATGCATATTTCATACAGTTATTTGTATTTTTTTGGTCTAAGTATTGAAAACGTAAGTTGAATATTTTTTGATAGTTTAAATTGACTTTTAAGCAATTGTGTGAAATGTTAGTCAATATTGAATATGCCTACATAATATGATTTTGTAACAACAGATTGTTCTAAAGTTAAAATGAAAGTTGAAGTAAAATGAAGATTTATTTTTTAATAAATAATACAGGAGGACCTTATGCTAGAGTATGGAACAACAACCCCTCACCTGTGGAGAACAGTGCACAAAATTTGGCATACTCTGCATATTATCCTGGGGCGGTTACCACCACGACAAATAGACCTTAAATTTCGACCAATACCAAAGTACTGTTAATTGTAAAAATGTCGTTATTATTTATTTATAGTGGCAATAAATTATTTATTTAATTGATAAAAAAGTGAATTTCAATCTGTAATTATCTGGAAATACCCATAAAAATTTAACAACAAGTCTTCAAACCACAAAGTTTAATCATTTTTACAAACAATGGAGAGTTTATAATAAATAATTTTTAATATTCTGTGAAGCAGTGAAACGAGACGTGCTCTTTATTTTGTTATAAATTTAATTAAACTAACCAGTGGCGTAGCGTGCCTTGGAGGGGCCCTATTTCNTAACAACAGTTATTCAAGAGGCATGCGCAAATGTTTATCAAAGTGTTTATTAATTAAAAGTTATAAATTAAAATAAATAAAATGGCTTATTAAAAGAATTAGTACATAAACATTCATTTCAGCCCGAAAGACTAACTAAAATTATTATATTTATACAATTGTACGCTTATTATGGTTTAATTTTCAAGCATTTTTCATCTATAGTAGTTCGACCATAATTGTTATTGCAACAATACAGCCACACACAAAATGTTTACCTGTAGTAGGTGTTTGAATTATTTTTGTATGTTAGACTCAGATACAGAATTCCAGCGAATTACCAGATCATGACCTGCTCAGAACGAAATTAGATGCCGAATGTGATGGTTATTTCGGCATTGGTTCATATAAAAGGATTTTAAACAGATAACATAGTAGGATCTGCAAGATTCGATGCCGAAATACTTGTTATATTGAGCATCTACTTATTTTGCTATTTATTTCGGCATTCGTCTGAATTCGGCATATAAGCCTAGCATAGTTTAAATTTTACATGGTCAAATACAATTTTAAGATAAGGATTTAGACTGAATTAACGGTAAATCTGACTGGATTTTTATTGAAATTTTGTATACTAATCAAAACGCAAATTTTATCCAATTAATAATCATCACTAACTATATTTCATCTACAGTATATTATCTCGGTTGAAGATGATGTGGTTTCTCAATGGTGCGAGGCTCTGTTTAGTTTTGATTACATTCAGAAATCGGGCTTTTGCGGTAATATATATACAACTTATAACTAGTTTATATGGACTAAAACACAGCAAAAAAAGCGAATGTTTTGTTGTCAATTTTTTTCTCTCTGTTTTAAAACGAAATCCATTGTTGGTCACAGAAAATTTACTAAAGTGCCAAATCTGCCCTTATGATCACACTTCAGCAAGACAGATCAACATTAACCGAACAGTTTAGCAATATCGTACTTTATCTTATTATTGTTAACTAAAACGAAAAATGTGTAATTACTGTCCCATTGCTGTGTTACTTTCTTAACTTGTACTGTTGGACCAAAAATTATTGTTGGCACCCTTTAGTAAATATTCTAATTAATTATTGGAACAACGTTAAAATTCTTTACTGAACCTGCTTATTAGTGTCCAAACAAAGATTCATTCAAGAATTTCAGGTAATTATGGTCTATGGTATATTAGATCGATAATTCAGTCATGTTCGTTTTAGTTTAATGCAAAAAAGAACTTCGTTTCAACTTTATAACTAATATCTAAAAAAATATAAATGGTATACAATTATTGCAATATTGCATTAATTAATTAATATTTAAGGGGTTATCTACGAATTACGTAAAGCAAAATTAATCAGTTTTTGACCCCCTCACCCCTACTAATAGATTCTATTAACTGCCTTAACCTCAAACTCTCCTCTGGATTTCGTTATGTAATGCGTGCATTGTAGGTACAAGTTTTAGGTTTGAATTCAGGAAAAGATTTTTAATTTTTAATTTCAGGTTCTAATCTAAACTGTGCTGTGTCACGTAGCTACTCCCTCACCTACCCCCATGTCATAGAACCATACCTCCTGATTAAACCCCCTGCCCCCCAAGTTTGAATATTTATTATTTCAGAACGGCCCAAGATACTTAGTATCAGACGAATTTTGAAAAAAAAGGTATTGTTATTCCGCTTTAAACTATTGTCTGGATCTTGAACCTTAAGTCGCTTAAATATATATATTTATGTACATAGAACGTGTAAGTACAGGTACGCCTTAAGTTTTGGAAAAAGTATATAACATTTTAGCTTTCTGCTTCGATAAAAGCTTGAATGAAAAACTATATTAGTTTCAGTTTTGTAGGAATACTAGCTAATACAGTTTTTCGATTTTCTTAATAAATTAGAAAAACTATCGGCAAACCTAGAACTCCAAGATAGTATGACGTTAAAAACACGCAGTTGCAAAGAAATATCCTACTTATTGGATGTTGTATAAAGAAAGGTTTTATTTGCTTCGAGGTAATAGTGAGGTTGTTGGTCTCATATCTGTAACAAAAACAAAAATGCATACTTAATTTAAACTTTAAGAAATACAATTTTTTTCTATATTATAAGTTATGTAATTGTAAGTTTCGTGAACATTGTTTTTCCTTTTTTTTTATTTTAACACAATTATATTTTTTATATGTTATACCAAAACATGAATTATTATTTGTTTACATAACAACGAATTCTTTACTACCCTTTTCGTTCCAATAAACTTAATAATAAATAAATAAAATTATCCACAAATATAACAAGGTAGGTACTTAGGTAAAAGTTATTGTGTAGCTAAGCATCGACTTTGCTATTAATAAACATTACACATTTTGTGTAATCTGTTTTTTTTTTTTTGATAAAACAAACGATTGTCTGATTTTTTTATGAATAATTTATTATAATTTATAGGAACTTACCTTCTAAGTTTTGTATTTGTTCTAGCGATCAGTATTTATTGGACAAGATGAGTAGAGTTTGGAGCAGTTCCTTTGATCTTGTCCGTCTCTTGCAGCTTGCACATACCTGTGGAACTTCACCACAGCAGCATTAGCATACGTTGGCTTCTGTAAATCTTTGGCATCCCTGTAAAATGTGTATGGTAAGAAAGAGAGAAAACAATTGTGTCATTCTTGTATCACTGTTTTTATTATGAATATTTGATTTTTTTCAATTTTCTTTAAAATAGTGACTCATTGTTTCGTAGTATTTATATTCTTGCTTCAAATAATTTATTCGCTATTACCAAAATTCGTGGCAAATATCCTTAGATTGCGTTCACTGTTCTGCCTGTGAGACTTCGTGTTTATAATTATTACTTACAAACTCATTCTTAACCACCAGCCAGCCGGTATAGTAATTAATCGTTAGGTACTTTGTCAGACCTGTTTATAATTTATATGGCGTGTTTGTGCGCGATCAACATTATTAGAGACAGTACAACTGTAGGGATACATATAGAAGGACAAAAGATTAGTATGTTTAGATCTGCAGATGATATAGCAGTATTAGTATCTAACAAGGAGGAGCTAGAGATAATTTTTTAAATAAAATTTAAAATGACGAAACAATATTGTAAGAAAATAAGGAAAAGTAAAAAAATACTGATATACAAGGGAAGAAAAAGTAGGGAAAGAGCGAATATATGAAGATAGCAGACGAAATATTAGAAGAAGTAGCTGATTTAGTAGGGATATAAAGCAGCGGATAGCGCAGGATCGAGTCGTCTTCAATAAAAAGAAGTCACTTCTATACTTGGGAACAATACATTAAGAATCTCGAAAAAGTTTGTTTAAAGTTGTATGCTTGGAGTGCGGCGCTGTACGGATACGAAACCTGGACGGTGGGAGCGGCGGCAAAGAAAAGGTTAGAAGCGTTCGAAATGTGGTGTTACAGGTGAATGATAAGGATACCGTCGATAGAGAAGGTAATGAGAGGTATTAGAAAGAATAGAACAGAGGACTCTATGGAAGTCAATAAGAAATAGGCGAGATAGGTTGGTAGGACATCTTCTCAGGCACGAAGGTCTAGTCAGAAACATATTAGAGGTAGAAACGGGAGTTAGGAGAGGTAGAGGTAGACCTAGATTAGATTACTGTTCTCAAATAGTTAAGGATGTGGGACGTTCAAGTTTCGGGAAAATGTGAAGATTAGCTCAGGATAGGAATAAGTGGAGGTGCGTGTCGAACCAGTCTTAGGACTGACGACCTTATAATTATGATGATGACTTGTTCGATAAAATATTGTTCTAATGTAGAATAAGTAAAGTTAATTGTTAATTTTATCAGATCTACGTACATCGAGTTATTTAATGCTGGGATTGTTACTTTTTAAAATTAATGTTGAAGTAGATTAATAAAGTTAATCAAAACTAGTTAAAACAATGCAACTTTTTACAATGGTCGGGCCGTTATTTAAACAGGAAATAAAGAAACTCACCTACGATGCATGTACATCTCTTGTTAGGTGAGATACGGTCGAGTTAGAAACAATTAATTAAATTAGCAATAATGAAAGAAAACCCAATGCAATTTATTTAAAATTAAACAACTCTGTAGTGTTTTAAACGAGTAGTGTTAAAATTACCTCTTTCTTCTATAATTATTTTTATAGATATTAACAATTAGATGTGCACACAATTTTTATGAATTACGTATTTATAATATATGAAAATAAGTGAATAGTTATTAACAGATCTTTTGCTATTTTATTTTGGCACAATATTTGTCGTTTGCGATTTTAATAATATGTATAATTTTGCATTAAATCCTTCCTGTCATATCTAACAAATTCACGTAAGGAGAGGCCGAGATATATTATTAAAAGTTAAGAGGAATACAAAATATCCTTCCGTTTCATATTCAAAGATTTACAATTTCATCTTATTGACGCATTAAATCTATGCTGGTTATGCAATCAACAACACACGAGTTCACAAAGCTCTTCGTAAGCTCAGCATGGACTATCCTTCTGTTTATCACATACATCTACACGAAATTAAGTAAACGTGCAAGTTTAATTTGTGTGCCGCGTCGGTCAAATGCATGTACGTATGCAGATATAATATTTATTATCAACATTATAATGACAATGGAAATGTGATTGAAATATTTACTTATTTGAAATGCATGAAACGGCCGAGGTGACAATATATAAAAAGTGCGGTTATTGTAAATGTATGAATCAATCAGTTCAGCACGTGGAGCAAGCTGTGGAGTTGTAGCGTGGTGTTAATAATACGGTATGTTTTTACATTTTTTCTAAATTACATATGTATTGCTTAATAATAGCCAAATAAGATAAATTACAACTAGGTAGGTACTTAGATGTTTTTAAATGTTCATCTTTTTGATAGAAAATCGTTATTTTCATAAAGATAGTTAAATTATATTCCCATAAGGAGAAAATAGCCTTGTCAAATCTGTTTACCTATTCTCTTCGTCTTATTCTTTTATTTTTTATTGTTGCGGGTGTCAGAGGCGATTTATTCATCCATTAAATTCAATTTAAGAATTTCCAATGATTAAATATAATACTACTTTGGGGGGTATGGTAAATAATATTCTAAAGATTCTGATTTAATTAATAGGTATATCAAAGATAATTCTTTTTCTTCTCTTAAACGTAATCAGCTTTCACAGATTTTTTCTGTGATGAATTTAAAATAGAGAGAACATAAAAAACTTCTATAAAGAATAAAGTAGTAAACGCCATCTGTAGCACGATGCTACATTTTAGGATTACGTAAAATGTAGCATCATACTACAGATGGCGTTTACCGCGCCATTTGTAGTATTTTCCAAAACGCACTATTAAGACAGCANAAAAATGTCCAAATATTCTTGGAATAATAAATAAAAACTAAAAAGTAGTTTTTATTTTTATATATTTTCTAAAAATAGTATATTTTTTAGCATTATACAGACAAAATACTATATTTTAAAGCTTTCTACTTCCAATTGAATCGACATTGTAGCATATATATTTGATCTCATCAGCACTCTATAGACTGTCTCGATAAATCACCAACTAAAACGAGGGTAGGCACTCCATATATGTATGACATACCTTTGTAAGCATACAAGCGTGGTGGTCGGTGATCTATCGAGACAGTCTATGGTGTGCTGATGAGATCAAATAAAATGGAAATCACAATCCAACTGTTGCAGTTTTTATAAATTACTGACCAAGAACGTTCTATAAAAAATATCCGTCTACATCACGTTTGTCGATCAAGGTGATTAAATCACCCGTGTGTGCACAGAAATATTTACAATTAGATACAACCGTTATTCAATTGATAATTTGTTTACGGCAAGGCCTACTTAGCTGTAATTGTAGGTGACTGATTTTTAATTTAACGACTTACTTGGAACACATTTTATGGCAGGGTATATTAATAATGTTCAGCGTACCATGTCACCAAATTAATAAGAAAAATGCTCATTAGTACACATTAAGAGAAAAACGTTACTGACCGCGCACACTTTTCACGGAAATATATTTCAGGTTGATGACATCAATTCAACGATAAAGTTAAATCATTTGATTTGGGACGTTAATTTTTGTCATTTATATTGGTTGTCGTAATTACAAACACATAACAACGTAACAGTAGATAAAATCTTTAAGTAAGTAGTGGAACCTCTTACGTAAATGTACCTACTCTACTTTTTGAAACATTATACATTTTACTAATTTAAAAAACTAAGTAGTGCTCTATATAAAAAATTAATAGTTACTGTTGACATTAGGGAAAATAAATGTGCTAACTGTTTTCTTCGAAAATAATTACGTCTTGCATTTGGAGTAAAGCGTATTACATAATACTAAAAAGTTCATAAACGGATTTACTTATTTTTAGATGTTTTAAGGTCCTTACAGTTGCCAGTGTAATTTTAATGAAAATAATAATCAAAATTGGAGGGAGGGGGTGGTCTCATAAAACGTTGTGGTGCGTTACAGGAGGGAAGTGTGTGTTTAAACAACTCGTTACGTATTGATATTTTAGTGATTCAAAAAATGCGTTACGTTAATATTTAAAACGGCCCCTAATTGTATCCTAAAGGTTGATGTATTATAGCACACTTCAGTAACTAAAAACCAGCTAGATGTAATTAAATAAATATGACCAGTATTTCTAATTTTTCTTAATCGGTTACAAACTACGTCAAATTTCACTTGTTACACATAGGAATTTCCTTAAGGATTTGGCACTACTCATAAGAATTAAATAGAGCAAAACTGCAAAAGGAGCCAACTCAATTATTTCTTAAGCGATTTAGTTATAGCTTCACCAAACTTTTAATATTTAATAAAGAAATGTTTATTTTATATACATTAGTGATTAAAAACGAATTTAAGCAAATGTGAGGTGCAATTCCGTGAGGTTTAATAAATACTTGAAAGGACATTTTGCCCATTTTATTAACAAATGAAAAAGTTTATGCCAAACACCCATGCTAAATGTTTTTTTTTTCGAGGCAGATCTTCAAACGTACAACCTTTTGATGAACTTGTTAGCTAAAGACAGTAAAAGATAGATAAAAATGAATGAACAATTAGGTATATTAATATCTAGAAAAAATTTTGAAACATAACATATACAAAAAATAAAAGACAAAAAAGGTAAAAATTGAATCTGTTCGTATCGTAAATAAAATATGTATAATTTTAAAGATCATTTAGTCTATAAACATTGAATTTCATAATAATAACACTGCATTATTGTAAAACAAATTAAATTAGATGCATTCCGAAATTCACTTTTTAAAACTTATTAAAGAAAATCAAATAAAAATAAACGCTAAATTCCAAAATTTCACTTAGAATATTTAAGAAAGCTAAAACAAAGTTGAAGACTAATGATAACACCTTTGGTGTCGATACGTGTTTTGGATTTTTATTTAATCTCATTATTTAACAAGATTTACTTGATCAAATTTGATAAAACTTATTTCTGATCATACTGATATTAATAAGCATTATTGGCCTCATACCTAAGTGGACAATTGTTTTGGTTAGCAAGATTTCGTGCAAGAATAATGACGTATCTTTGAAACGTTTTGATATATTGAAAATTTTGATCTCCATTTTTGAAGTAAATCAACTATAACTTCTCTATACTGGAAAAAAGGACGAATAACAGAACGCTAGTAGATATTTTTTTTAGTTTGCATAACGACGATAGGTATATGCGATCATTTGAGAATCTGAATGTTTCGTATGTATTTGGAAAAAAGCTGGTAAATGCTTAACAACTATTTTTCTATTTAAAAATACTTATACCAAAGTAAAAAGATCCAGCTTTGCAAGACGTGATGAACCACATATTATACGCTTTTGTTGAGCACCTTTCACCTTTTTAGAGTAATAAATATGTCTTTTTCCGTATTTTTTGACAACCGTAAAGCTTTTTCAATTTTTCAATTAAACAGATGCAACTAAAATAGCAGCTAATAAAATACACGCTTTCTACAATTAGGTTACTGATGATATATAAATGAGAAATGTATAAATAGAGATGGTTTACCTATGTACTTTCATTTTTATGCATACACATTAGAAGTTACAGTTCTATTTATATATTTAATAATAATTTTTTTAAGCAATGTTTTTAATTGCACGTGACAGTGGACAGATGTCATTGATAGTTAGGTACTGCGCGCGTAACTTCTGTAACTGTTTCCGATACCTTCTACGCGCCTTCTTTGTTATTACTAAAAGTACATACAATGTGAAGAGATTCCTTATAATTATCTTTCATTATAAAATAACTGAATCGATCGTCCTGAGGTTATTAAAAGGATATGGTACTGAGTGTGGCTAAACTCACGCCGAAGAAATCATTGGATTAAGAAGGGTTACACCATAAAAGAACCCTGACTCACATGTGTGAAGTGCCATTCAACTTTTGCGTATCTTATCGTACGTTATGAGAGGATTCACTGACTGTCTTATGTAAGGTACTATGGCTCATAGACTTAGGTTAATTACTTATAAGAGAGAACTCCCTGATCAGCTTGTGTGAAGTGTTGTGAGTTTAGATTATGTTGCGTGGAAATGGTTTCCTCGATTGGCGTAACATGTGAAGTGCTAGGCACAACTGGTTTCGGTTAGGATCTGACAAAAGAAGGTTTCCTGATTGGTATATGTGTAAGGGTTTAGAAAAAGTTATGTTGGGAAAGGTTTCTGTGATTGGCATATGTAAAATGCTATATACTAGGCATAAGTACACCATAAAAGAACCCTGACCCATTCATTTAAATTTGGACGGGTTCATCTAATATATAGATTTTATATCAATATTAATTCGTAATAAGTATTGTATTTCTATTGTGCTAAAAAAAATGTTCAATTCAACCCATAATTTGGGTCACTTAAAAATGTGAATCCGAAGACAGGTGGGTGTGATTAACTTAATTAAATGATTAACAGTTATTTTTTAAATAATATTGAGTAAAACTATATTTTTCTGGGATGATTGTTTTGCTATTAGTCATTTAAATGGACGACAGGTCTAATTAATATCTTCTCAAAATTACTGGCTTTAATCAAGCGCACCGGGAATGTATGTAGCTAGCAAATTATTGAATAAAATAGCGCGTTTCAAGACCTTAATCATATGAGGATGTTGTCGAAATTAAGTTTAAGCACGTGTGTGCATAATGGTAGTAAGTTTTACGATAAAACTGGCTACTGAGGACCCGGAAATATTGCATGCACTTTCTCCTCATTCTTGGAGTCATAAAGGCGGTCACTTGCTTCACTTCTCTTCAATAGGTGTAGGTATATGTACATGCTATATTATGATGATTTACTAAAAGAAAAAAGAGAAATAGCGTCCGCATACCTCATCTCTCTGTTTTCGTTTTCGTGTAGAGTAAAATTCTATGAAACTATCAAAAAAATTAGTGTTTCCGGAAAGAATGAAATAACGCGTAGAAAATTCTTTAATACTTGCACATGCCTCTTGCGCTTACATATATGTATATTATTGTAATTAGAAAGAGTTTGTGCTAGATTTCAACGAACTGTCAATTTTTCGCTAAAAGTTACTTTACATGTATGAGTATCAATAATAATAATATCAAGAAAAAAAATGTAGGTGAGAATCTTAGACTTCAGTTCCGGATCGGTGAAAACTTCTCAGTACCAAACATAAAAATAATGTGAATGTGAAAATTTATTTAATTTTTATCCACTATAAATTACCTCAAATTAATGTGGAAAAATTGTTGTTGCTCTCACGCCCTCACCGGTAATCGAACCCGGAACATTTGGCTTTACGGGTTCGATAACCGGAAGGGTTGAATTGAATCCGTTAAAACGAGCCTATAATGTTTATAAACACTAAAAATCGACAAGGTGAAAAAATCACACTAGTACGTTATCGTTAATTATAACTTGATATACCAATAAGCGATAAAACTTGTAAAAATTCGGCCACACTAATGTATTCTTGTTCACGAGAATAAGTAAACATGTACTGTATCCAAATAACAAATAATTTAGTATAGCAATCAATAAATAACACAAAGTAGGGTGAACGAACCTATCTCAATACAATCTTAATTACTTACTTTCATTAGGTAAGCTTTTTGTTATACTTATGATTGCTGATGTGCTTTTTTCTCTGGTAGAATATACAAACGACATTATTCGGTACCCGACCGGATCCAAACAGGATGCTCGACCCATCTCTACTATAAAGCTTTAGTTCAATTAGTTAATAGTTTTAACAACATATTTCTGTTAAGTCTGTAAATTACCCCTACGAGGTATTAACTTCTGGGGTGATCTTTATCATTTTTATATGTTTGTCCGCAAAAACAAAAAAATATGTAATTCATCATTTTTGAGTAGATTAATAAACTCTTTAATTTTAAACCACAGACAGTATGCCGCTACATAGTGATACCAGCTTTTAACAGTAGTATTTTAAATATGTGATGAGACTTTACAAAGATATTTACATGACAAACTGAATCAATGACGCACCTTATCTACCAGGCGGTCAAGCTCCTCGATAGCCCGAGTCATTTTTCAAAATTTGAAAATTTTCGCAAGCCGCAATAAAATACGTATTTAAAGATAATAAAAAATTTTTTTTACAGAAATTATATTTATTGAATAAATAAGAATACCTATAAAATATGTGTATTGAATTTGAATATTAAAAATTAAACACATTTATTTTACTTCTCTTGATAATTCTTTAAAATTTGGTGAATAATTGGTGACAGCACTTCTCAGTAATTCTTTGCTTGCTGATTAGTTAGTACTGATCGGTGTTTGGATTTCATGAATTTTAAAGTGGAATAAAATGATTCATATAAGTTCGTTGTTCCGAATATTGAAATAATTCGACAAGAAGCCTTTTTCAATCCAGGATACTTTGATTGTGGTACAAATTTCCAAAATTCAATAATTGTTGTCGACTAGTATTTTAATTGTAGAGTTTGATCTTCTTGTATCTCTTTTAATTCTAATCCTTCAGATGCTTTTTGGGTCATAATTTTATTGAAAATGGAAAACTTTGAATTATTCATATTTGTCAGTAATTTAAAAGACATTTTGAAACATATACGGAATGATAATAATTTTTTAAAATATCATTATAAGATCGTCAGTCCTGAGATTCGTTAGACACGCACCTCCACTCTTTCCTATCCTGAGTTAATCTTCGCACTAGAACAACCCACATCCTTAACTATTTGCGAGCAGTAATCTAATGTAGGTCTACCTCGAACCCTCCCCACCGATCCTGTATGTATTATTCTAAGGTCTCCACTCTAGAAGTCTACAGATTCGGGCCAACGCTTCTAAATTTTCCATTTTCTCTACTTGCCTCATTGTCCTAACATTCTACGCTCCGACTTGTGAAATATTGCTCTTATTGATGACATCCCTCGAGGTAGTCCCCGCCCGGACATATGTATGGGGGACTAGTTTACGTCCGGAGTGCTTTACCCCAGAGGATGCCATCATTTAGGTTTGTTTTACTTGGGCTATGATAATGTGGTGGTTTCTCGTTGCTTTTCACATCGCAGTATTGTGCCTCAGAGTGCCATACCGATCCTCGTAATCTCTGCCACCCTGAGTACTGAAAGAGCTGCTCCCCTCTTTCAGGGACTTGTTAGTCTGGTTTCTCGTTAAGAAACCCTCCCCCCCCATCGCAAGCCGATCTACCCACTCTAGTTTGTACAACAGTTTCGTCAAGATTCAAGTCCCGTTGGAAAAAATATAATTCCACAAAAATGAAAAGGAAACCCGGGTACATTTATCGAGAGTAAAAAATAATCCTACAAAGAGCCGCATGTAGCTCGCGAACCGCAGGTTAACCTCCCCATCTTATATACTTACGTCATAGGAGTGTACAGCATAGGCAGTCTCGATAAATTATCGACCAAACGGAAGTTGTTCGGTAAAAAGAAAATGACATAATATAAGGCTAATTGTCTATAAATAATAACTGAAAAGCAAAAAATTACCTGCTTAATTCGACTGAGACCAAGTTACTATAGGGACTCCACTTCACAGGGTTCTTGTACATGCTGCAAATTAACCTTTCCCTACACTGATCCTCAACAAATCCAAGTCCCGTTAGGATTTTCTCAATTTTCTCCAAAATGGGACTATAGAAAGGGTCGTAAGTGATTGCAGCAGCTTTCTGAATTGGATCTTCAGTAGAAAATCGCACCGGTTGTGGCACGGGCGTTACAATTGTTTGTCTTTGCACCGTTTGAATTACACTAGCTTGGAATGGTGGTTGAAGTGACGGAGAGAGTGATATCTTATTCGAATCAACTTGAATCGCATTCATAACACTTGCGTTTGAAGCCAACACAATCGACGGTTTCGGAGGCACGAGAGTGTTAACGACACCACCGTTCGCGAGATTAGTTGCATGGGCTTTTAGTTTTTCTTGCCTGAGAAGATGCAGCTTGATTTCGTCTTGCAATCGTTTGTTTTCCATCTGCACACGAAGACGCTCTTGCTGAAGTCGGGCTTTAAGCTAAAATAAAACGATATTATCAACAAAAACTGTTTGACAATAGTGCTAGAGAAAAAATACTTTAGAAGTAGATTGGTTGTTCGGCACTCGTTGGAATATTATAACTAATTAGCTGAACAAAAGCATGATATGTTTTATAAACTTGTTAAAAGATCCCAGCAATACAAACATGAAATCAAATTGGTGTTGAACGAAAAAGAGCACTATTTAGAATCGAAATTGTGTACATTTGTGTGCATATGTCTACATATTCTTATTGGATTTTGTAATATTATACTCATGGTACTTTAGAGCCATTTTTTTAAAGTGAAACATCTTTATCGACGGTAGAAAGGAAATTTACTAGAGTATAAAGCCGAAAAGTGTATGGTCACACGTCAGGCGTCACGTGTGACTTCCGGTGAATAAGCCCAAAGGAGTCATTTTAACAGGCTTCAGAAGCTAACCCGTTAGTAACAACCGATAATCAGAAAATTGCCATATCAGTAAATTGGCAGCAGATCGCGCCTACTCGGCACTGTATATGTATTGCATAGCTATTAGTTAGTCACATTTAAGTCCCGAAGGATTATAAACGGAACGTGGTATTAATCATACCTAAAAAGAGAGGCGAGATTAGGTGCGAGACATTTAGAACAATTAGCTTAACATTCCATGCGTCAAAAATCTTAACTAGAATTGTACAGAGAAGGATGAAAAAAAAAAGGCGGAAGAACTATTAGGAGAAGATATGGATTTCAAAGAAATAGAGGAACGCGGGAGGCCATTCTAGCTTTACGGGTAACTGTAGAGAAAACGATAGAAAAAGGAAAGAGTGCGTACATAGGATTTGTAGATTTAGAAAAAGCTTTTGACAAAGTTAAATGGGACAAGATGTTAAATATACTTAAAACTGTAGGGATGAGTTAGAGAAAAAGAAGAGTGATACTTAGTTTGTATAAAGACCAAGAGGTAGTTACAGAGCAGCAACGTAGAGAAGTAAATATTAGGAAGGGAATCAGACAAGAATGCACATTGTTACCGCTACTCAATATCATTTAAGGCAGTACAACTGTAGGGACAGATATAGAGGGATAAAAGATTAGTATGCTTAGATTTGCAGATGATATAGCAGTATCAGATTCCAGAAAGGAGGAAAAAGAAGAGAAAGAGCGAATATAAAGATAGGAGATGAAACATTAGAAGAAGTGACTAATTTTAGGTATCTAGGAAGTCAGATAAGTCAAGACGGAAGGAGTAGTAGGGATATAAAGCAAAGGATAGCGCAGGGTCGAGTCGCCTTCAAAAAAAATAAGACGCTTCTATGCTCGTGAATGGTTAATTTATAAATTCGAAAAAGATTGTTAAATGTGTATGTTTGAAGCGCGCAGTTGTACGGATGCGAAACATGGACGGTATGCGAAAGATGAGGATACCGGGGATAGAGACGATTAGAAATGAAGAGGTATTAGAAAGAATAGGAAAACAGAGGATTGTAGTCAATAAGAAATAGGCGAGATAGGTCGGTAGGACGGCTTCTCAGGCATATAGGTCTAGTCAAAGACATATTAGAGGCAGAAACAGGAGGTAAGAGGAGTAGGGGTAGACCTAGATTAGATTACTATCCGCAAATAGTTAGGAATGTGGGATGTTCTAGTTTTAGGGAAATGTGAAGATGAACTGAGGATAATAAAACTAAACCAATATTCAGCATTCGTTCGCTCGAAACAAAATATTTTTCTGAAGAAGTTTCACTTCTTACGCGTGTACAGTAATATATGCACATCAATTTTTTTTTAATTAGATATTTAAATAAATGTGTAGAATTATTCAATCGAGGTCGAAATTTCGTTAGAAGCGTTGGTGTATGAGAGGAATAGTAAAAATTATTTTGTGGTAATTTTATGTTTGGTTAGAGAGAAGTGCAAGTACATCATAAAACGATTTGTTTCTAGGAAAAAACACCTTAGAAAACAAAAACTAATTCTTTTAATTGTTATAAGTTCAACTTGCATTTTAGCACACCTAATTTATATTCTAAAATTTGTGTACCTTTGTCAGGCATTATACATTTTTCAAATTATTTCAATGAAACGTATTATTATTATATAATGAAATAAGTAGTGTAATGTACCTACCCATAACAATTATAACACTCTGTATGCATAACTTTAATAATTTATCAAATTGTTGTTAAATATTGGTGAGGAAATGAGTAGACAATTATTTACTGTATTTCATAGTTATCATTATTAATATTAGATAAAACTGCAATTAACATAATAGATAATGTCCAGACTTTCTAAATGTTTGAAGATGATAATCACGATTCTCTTGAGAAACACAAATAATGGTAATAATTTCTATTATGAATTGTTAACATAAGAAAGTGAACTTTGCCAAAATACGTCACAAATCTAACTAATAAAT